ATATGACGAGAATTGTACAGCGCTGCAGAACAGTTTAACTGTGATAGGAGATAATGAAACAGTGCAGATTTGGATGTGACTTTCAGGAGGTAGCAGTTAGGGCCAGATTATGACAACCTTAGGGTATCATGCTGGGGAAAAGGGTTGTCCCCAGAAAGGAGAAAATAAACCAAGGCATCAGGCACATGGACGGCACCTTAGTAGGCTTCCACTGCAAGATGTCATCCAGTGACTAGTTTAAACAATGGAAATGTATACTCTCATCCATGTCAACAGGCTTGATTTGAGGCTAATGTCCTTGACTTACATGTGATCATATTTTCTTGTGCCTTCTCGTGGTCTTTCCTCTGTGAGTGCCTGTGAAGCAGTCTGCTCTTTCAATGGTCACATTCAATAGTCAATGTCAAACCTCAATAACTGCACTTAACTCTAATTAGCTTTAGAAGAGCCTACCTAAAGCTAACCCCAGTCTGAGTTGTTGGGACATATGCTCAACGTTAGTTGGGACTTCAGCATATGGATTTAAGGGTATATGATTCAACCCATAGTTCATCCATATGTTCAGCCAAGCACAGAGAGGTAAGTGTTACCAGCATGTTGCTAGAATTCAGGGCAGAGACAAATGTGCATGATGCCCCATATTCTTTGAAAGCTAGAGTAATTAACCAGCTTCCTGCCGTGTTGCTGAAGCTGTGTCTCCTTGCATTCCATATAAGATCCCAAGCCATTTTCACAGCCCAATGTTTGAAGTGTGCTTATTTGTTTGTTTTGTAGAGCCACAGTGCTTTGAGCAAGGTGTTAATTTTTGTCTTTTTCCAGCAGACAGGGGTTTTAGCTTTAACACACCCTGTTCCTTTGGGTGCGGTTTCTCATTCACTGTGCAGCAGCTAGTGAGGTGAAGGGCTCCCAGACATGCCCTGTGTCTGAGATATTCACCCGTTACATAGCGGTGGGAGAAAGGAGAAACCATGCCCATTCTACAGATGGATTCTCTGACACACTGAACACAGAGAGTCTAAAACAATCTACGGCACACGCGGCTACAACCATCCTATTATCTACCCTTCTTTGTCAGAATAAAAATAACATACCAGCTATTAAATAAAACATTGAACCAGAAATTGTTCTTTGCAACCTGCATTCGTTACCTAGTGTACTACTAGTAGCAATCCTGAAGAACGAAAAGATTGGATTATCTGCTCAGGGTGACCCAGGTACCAAAGTCAGTCTGACTCTAAATGACTGTCCTTAACCACAGTGTCCCACCCATGGAGATAGAAGCTCCCCAGACACAAGGCTCTCTTGACAATCTCACTTCTTCCAGAGTGTTTGTGAATTGATGGAGAAAGCAGGAGTGAAGGAGCATTGTGTGTCTCAGCAAACACTCCTTGAGACATTCATTTCTATCTCCAGTTACTGTAAACGCAAGACCCATTTCATCATGGAGTCTGTGGAGGGAGGCCAGACTTTCTGCATTTCATTTCCGAGAACAGCTGGCCTATCGTACTGCAAGGGAACAGAGGTTAGCTAGGCTACAAGCTGTTTTACTCAATCAACGTCTATTTGGCTGTGGAAATGGGTAATTTCCTCATAAATTTTAGCATCAGATTATCTGTGGGTTTTACTTTTAATATATGGTAGTGTGAGGTTTGGGCTTTTTGTTTGTTTTTGGGTTTTTTTTGGTTTTTTGTTTCTTTGGGTTTTTGGGGGGGCAGTGCTTTGCGGAGACTGTGGAGGGAGTTTGGAAGACACTAAAAAGAAGAGCTGTTAATTCCTCACCACTAAATCACGGGATGTCCCCCACTTTTGTTTTGATACTACTTTACTGTGGCTGGCAAGATGGCTCAGCAGGTAAAAGCACTTGCCACAAAAGTCTGATGACCTGAGTTCAGTGCTCCAGACAGCAGAAAGAGAGAGTCAACTCCCAAAAGGTATTCTGTGACCTCCACATGCACAGAGAGAGAGAGAGAGAGACAGAGACAGAGACAGAGACAGAGAGAGAAACAGAGAGAGACAGAGACAGAGAGACAGAGAGAGAGACAGAGAGACAGAGACACACACAGAAAAATATATGAGATAAAACAAATAGCTTTTATCATAATCTGCTCAGCATGGGTTTAATAATCAAATTCTTGAAATACGGAGTCATCGTGAAACATGAAAAGCTCCAACCCTCCATTTACTTTCTTGCAATTTCTAAAAGTCATTCTTTCTCTGTAAAGATAGAAAAATGACTCTGTAACTCCAAATACTTCCTTTTTACCTATTGTTCCTCCAAATGAACTTCCAGATATGTAATATCAGAGTAACATTTGAGGGGCTCCGGCTGCCCAGGCAAACCTATGACAGAGCAGTCATGGGCATCAGCATCTTCCTTTGAGGATATTCACAAAGGAAGATGCCCAGGGGGTGGAGAGCCTCGTCTCCCTGTGCACACACTGTGTGTGGGTACATACAAAGCGCACTATTTACTCCCTAAAGAATACAGAGGCTTCCTTCTACATCTCCTACTCCCAATCATCTATTATGGCTATTTATCCTGAAAAAAATAAAGCGTGCATATATAAATTAATAAACACAAAACCTAAAATAACAGAAAATGGGAAAGTTTTATTTGCCTTTTAAATCCTTAGTATTTTGACACATTTCACTGCTAAATAAAACTGTTTTTAATTTAAGTTAAGAAAACTAATTGGTATCTGATACTAAAAGTTCTTGTAAGTTGTTCCAAGTGTTAGTTCTGGGAATAGCGTTTTTATAGTTTTCATATTGATTTGCCTTTGAGACAAACTGCAACAAGAAAGCAGGTGATAAGCCTTTGTTAGTGCCTCTGGGAGAAAATGCTGCAGCTACAGACTACTGTTGATAAACAGATTTTGAATTAATTAGTTCTGCATAATTATGTGACACATCAACGCTCTAAAACCAAATGTAACTGGTCTTATACTGTTTTACATATAAAAAAGAAGAGGAAAAGGGTGTCCAAAATTTGTTTTTCTTGTTTTTTAAGAAAAAGTTAAAAACAGGATTTGATAGTTTAAAAGCAATGATTGACATTTGTAAATGGCATGTTTAAAATACTGCATTATCTCTAGAACTATAAAGTGAGATACAAAGACTTGCTTTGTATGAATTGTTATCATTAGTGACATAATTGGGGGTTGGAGCTTGCTACTACTGCCTCACACTCGCTGGGAGTTATATATTGTTATGAGATAATAGCCTGATACCAAAAAGGTACGGATTTCAGTATGATACTTTCAAGAATTTCGAACCAGACCATGTGGCACAGGGCTGTAAGCTAGCTACTTGGGTACCTGAGGCAAGAGGATCACAGGTTCAAGGCCACCTTGAACAGCACAGTCAGATCCTATCTCAAAATAAAGTGTAAAAATGAAAATAAGACTGAGACTATAGCCCAGTAGTAGATGCTTGCCCAGCATGTACAAGCCCTAGACTCAATCCCTAGAACCACCAAAATGGGAGTCATTTTTCTACACAATTATAGTAGGAAGGAAGGGAGAGAGGAAATGATTTAAGAAATGAATGAGCGGCAACTACAAATATTTCTCAAAGATATAGAATGAAGAAATATATGAAGAAACAACATAAAATATTCCATATGGTAAGATTCTCACTGTTAAGACAATACAGGGTTAATATAACTTCATCTAAAATATTCAATTAGATTTTGGGGATTTGGGGTTCAATTTTTAAAGAAATTATCAAAGTAAATGAACATGGAGTTAAAAATTACTTGCATAGCCGGGCGGTGGTGGCGCACGCCTTTAATCCCAGCACTCGGGAGGCAGAGGCAGGCGGATCTCTGTGAGTTCGAGGCCAGGCTGGACTGACAGCCTCCAAAACAATACAGAGAAACCCTCTCTCGTAAAAACCAAAAAAAAAATTACTTGCATATATATGTATTTATTATATATTTATGTTTTATTGACTTATAATTTAAGGATCTCCTGTGTACGTGTGTGTCTCTGACATGACTATGCAGGTGCCCTCTGAGACTGGAGGAGGGTGTGGAGTCCTCTGAAGCTGGAGCTACAGAAGGTTGTGAAGCCCCATGTGTGCTGGGAACCAAAAGCAGGACCTCTGGAAGAGCAGCAAGTCCTCCCAACTGCCGAGCCATCTCCCCAACCCTTTCACAAAAACCTTAAGGAAATACATGGAAGCATTGACACCATCTGTGTATGATAGAGCTGTGTTGCTTTTTACTTTACTTTTTATGGTGGTTTATACTTCCCAAATTTCAATAATTTCTGATACCTAAGAAACTTTATGCCAGCCTTCCCTTCAAGGAAATAAAACTATCAATAAGTATGTTTATTTTATTTCATCTTTATAGTTACTTTATGGTTAGTCAATCTGTTGATACTGACTTCAGCAACTTAAAATGCAAAGTCAGGCTTCTCTGTTGCCTCAAATTCCAGAAAGTCAAATGTTGTGTCCTCCTTTGGGTAATTCATGAATAACCCACCAGAAACATAAAAATAAGACACCAGCTAATGTAAGGCAATAATGATTTGCCCATCTAGTTCCAGCTGCCATAGAACTACATGGAGTCTATGTTACACATCTCAGTAGCAGGATGCTAATTATCCAAAGAAGGACAGTTGATGATACACATTTGTACCATTTCAAAGGCATTTGGCTTGAAACTAACAGATAATTCCTAATTCAAATTTATCTAAGCAAAAAGGAATCTTATTTTCCCACACAAGAAGCCCGGTGCTGGTGCTTGACTGGCCTCCAGGCAATCTGATCAATGGGCAGGGTGGCCACACCTCTTCACTCAGGCGTTGTTAGCCCAGGCTGGCCTTCCTTCTGGGAGCAGGAAGGTTACGTGATTTCAGCTATAAAAATATCAAAAGATGCTGGGCGGTGGTGGCGCATGCCTTTAATCCCAGCACTCAGGAGGCAGAGGCAGGTGGATCTCTATGAATTGGAGGCCGGGCTGGTCTACAGAGGGAGTTCCAGGATGACCAGGGCTGTTACACAAGAAAACTTGTTTTGAAAAACCAAACAAACAAACAAATAAATGAAAGCCAAAAGACATAAAATAGACTTTCTTACTGTGTCTCCTAGAAGCCAGGAGGCCTCTCACAGATGCCCCTGTCAGTTTGCTTTGTCCTCCTTGTTCATTTCATAGCCATGCAGCCAGTCTACACCACAGCAAGTGGCAGGAAACTGACATAACCCTAGACAGATGAGGTGGGGTCTGTTCCTCCGAAACCCAGGGAGGGTAGGTAATGAGCACACACACTGGTTGTACGTGAGCACACACACTGGTTGTGCTGTAGGGAAAGGGTGAGGGGAAGCAGAGGAGTCTGTGAAGCAGTACATGTGGCATGCATGATGGGTGGGACGTGATGGGCTGCTTCCGCCTTCCACGTTGTTGCTGATGTGAGAAGCATTCTCAGGGTGGTTAAAGACTATAGAAGATGCTGCGATCGGTGCTGTTGGTAAAGTGGAGAGGACTGATCCTTTCCCTTTCAGGATCTGAAGTTTTAAGAGATAAGGCACACGATTACTCAGGCAATTACAACACTGTTAAAATTATGGGGCTACCAACACTCTCTGGATGGGTGACATAACCAGATTTGATTACCAAAGGATGCCACATACCAGTTGGTCCAGAATGAGGATGCATCAGCCCTTGTGACAACTGAGAGGATGGCGTATCTCGAACCTGGAGGTGAAAGTTGAGTAGGGATCCTACAGGGCCCTTAAGGCCATGGTAAAGCGCTTGCATTTCATTCTAGAGTCACGGGGACCCCAGTTTAAAGGTACAAAGAAGTAAGAGAATCTGACTTTCTTTTTGGAACATTCTCTCTAATTTTCAGAGTGGAGAATGGAATGGAGGGATGAAGCCACAGTGTAGAAAATGCATAGATACTTTTACAGTAATCCAGGCTTGATCGTCACAAATTACAAAACAACTAAAATGTGTAGTGTAGGCAGCCAAATGGAGTCTACTGTTAAACACATGAAATTTGAATTATGAGACATTTAAGTGAAAAATACACAATAAATAGGACTCCTTTCATAGGCTTTTTTTACAAATATTAGCAACATTATTAAGTTGCTTGTAAATATTCTTGTGAAAACTTCGACAAATATAAGTGACTGCCAGATTATCCAAGCATTTTTTTCCTTTCTTGCTCTGACATGAGCAGGGTGATATGGGAAAAGGGTCTAGCAAGTGGTTTATGTGCACTGGCTCCAGATGTTGTGGAAGGAAAGGGCTGTAGACTAAAGACGAGGCTGTCTGTAACTTCAGCAATATACAGCCTTAGACAGCAAGACCAGGCATTTACAAATAATGCTTAGCGTCTCAACCTAATGCTTCCCCAGTTTTGCCTTCTGTCTTAGGATCAGACAGGCTCGCCCTCATGTGCAGTTAATACCTTTACTCCTGTCTTAATGAGGTGGTGTGCTCCTTTAATTCCAGCTCCTGGCAGACAGAGACAGACAGCCTGGTCTACAGAGAGTTCTAGGCCAGCCAAGGCCACACAGTGAGACCCTCTTGCAAACTAACAAATCAATCTTTACTCTTCTACTTTGAACTCCGGAATGTCCTTAGCAAGTCCATCTTCGTCTCCTTGCTTTATCTCCAACAGAAGGACAGAAAGATGAGCTCTTGGGTTAATTTGAGACAAAGATTCAAAGATTGCTTTGACTGAAGAACGTAGTTATAAATCTTTTTGATTGTGTAGGAATGATATATCAAGTTAATTGCCTGTCAGTGAATGTTTGGGTAACTTCCAATCTTTAAAAAGTTTATTTTATGTGTATGGGTATTTTGCCTGCATCCATGTCTGTATGCCATAGGCATGCCTAGTGCCTGTGGGGACCAGAAGAGGGCATAATAGCCTGTAGAACTTGAGTTACAGACAGCTGTGAACTGCCACATGGGTGTTGGGAAGAACTGAACACAAGTTCTCTGGAAGAGCAGTCCCTGCTCTTACTCATGAGCTATCTCTCCACCCCCCAGTCCTTCGTACCATAAACAAATGTTCAGTTGAATGACCTTGAGCAAAACGTTTGTCAGTGTCTCCTAACTTCCTCAGGAAAATTCCCTGAAATTAAATTACTGAGTCAAACACCGAATGTTCTCAAGCTTTTCATGCACTATTGTCACGTGCCTGTGTTCAGGATGTCTGTACTGATACATATCCCCCACGTTATATGGCTCATAACTGTCTAAGAATACATTGCTAATGTTTTCCCTCACATAAATATTCAATCTTTTAAAAAATATTTTCAGAGTTATTGATCAGCTTCTTTAATCTGTGGCGCTGACCAGGAAGTTTCTAAAGCTATCCCAGGGGACCTGAAACATCCCCTGACTTCTTTTCTTTCTTTTTCAGATTACACTTAGCTAGGAACTCCTAAGAAGAGCTGGAATCATCTCTCCCTCGTGAGAAGTTAAATCAGCTAAGGTGGGTGGACGTAGCGGTGATTTTTTTCTCAGTTCTTCCAAGCGCAGGAACTCTTTAGGAGCATCTAGGACATGGCAGCATCATGTTGGGATGAAGAAGTATTTCTAGACCCTCTTCCATCTTCATTTCCTCTCTCCCCCTTATTCTTCGATATGGACAATTATCATTTTACACATGTTGGTTCATATTAAAACATAGCTTCAAAGTTCTTAAGTTCTTAAGCACCCACTGAAATCTACCCAGCCACATACAATTTTCCCTTGGATATACATAGGTGTCACAGTATAAGGAAGATAGAGATATTTTGTATAAAACATCAACTCAAAATAGCTGAGACACTTTGCTCATAAGATTATGTTGCTTTCTATGGTTTAAATCGAGATAAGTTAAAAAGGCTTTCATAATATAGAGAAGGAAGTGTGACTGAAATTCACTTGAACTTGTCTGTAGGTCATCATGAAAAAGGAGTGCAAAAGAGAATCCAGTAAAGTTGGGCTGTCATTAAATCCCCTTGCATATCGAAAGAGCTTGTCTTGTGTGATGATACCTAAGATATTATTATATGCTTGTTTCTTCACTCAAGATTAGTTTTTGTGAGTTCGTGCTTCATATTCCCAGCAGGGAACAAGCCTCTTTTTTTGATAAGGTTTTACTATGAAACGCAGGCAGTATTTGCCTCACTCTCCTGAGTGCTGAAATTGAAATTGCAGGCCTTTATCACCACATCTACTGAAGACAGGCCTCCTAAAGGCCGTGGCGCTTAGTATCCTTCTGAGGATGCACACACATTAAAGATGTAAGGATTACAGCTGTGATGGTTTGTAAGTGAAGAGGGATAGAGATTAGAGACTGTCCGTAACTGATCCCCTAGTTACATGACTACCCTCCCTGCACTGCGGTCAGATTTTACCCAGTGTACGCCACAGGGTTTGATAGCATGGCAAGTGTGTCAAAGAAAGAACTTTGAAAAGAACGTCATGTTTTCTTTCCCATTAGGATTTTTCTCAAGAACAATTTATAAGTATTTAGAATGAATTCTGCCCAACTACCACCCCTAAATTCAAAACCAAAAAGAGTGTTGGGTTTTCTTTCAGTTGAGAATGACTACAGCTACGCCTACATGTTTAGGAAGTAGAGAAATGTTTGTCCTTCAGGCATGATGGACCTATTGAATGCAGTGACTGTCAATCAAAGTTTTCGAGAGCTATTTCAGACAGCAGACTCCAAAATGTGACCACATAAAACTACCCCTTGTTTTATGCCATTTTAAGAAAATGGATAATTAAACATCATGTTTTAGTTCTTCCCTTACTTCTAACGATAGGAATTTTAACATTTCTAAAGTTATTATATTTCTAAGAGAACAACTATAGTTTCCTCAGCCCAAGTCACCAAGCCTGGATTTATAGTTCAAACCCAGCAGCTCTCTCCCCGTCTCCCCTCTCATCTCTCTCTCCCTCCCTCCCTCCCTCCCTCCCTCCCTCCCTCCCTCCCTCCCTCCCTCTCTCTCTCTCTCTCTCTCTCTCTGTTTGCAGGATGAACTTGTCACAGTTGGATCACCTCCCTTCATTCCTTAATTGTACACAGCGTCCTTGCACTGAAACATCTGAAGTGCTAAGACCACATTATTCCAGCTTTGACAATGTATCCGTTGCTCTTGTGTGTTAAGTCTAGTCATTGCTGAGACTGCCTGTGCTCCCATGATTGTGACTCGGTAAAATTACAGCTCAGTTCAGATCTCAACGTGGAGAGAGGTTTGCAGGATTTGTTTACAATTAAGGATGCCATATGCTCCTCTAAGAAAAAAGATGGTAATTTCCAGGGAAGTAATAAGACATGAAAATATGGAATTGCTGCAGACCTACTAAGCCAACAAGCAAGACACCGTCTGTTCAATGGGAATAAATGCAACAAGTCTACCCCACTGTGTTTTTATGTCCAGTTGAATCTCCTCAGAAAAGGGTGAAGACTAAGAAAAGTCACTTTCTAGTATTTATATCTTAAATGTGTAGTGTGACATAGTTCATATTTTAAGACCAAACTGCTTCAAATGCTTGTTCACATGTAGAGCTATGCAACAAGATTAGACATTTTTAAAGTTATGTGCAGTAACAGTCTAAACTGAATATTTACTACTGGCCAAGTAAAAAGTAGAAAGTCCAATCAGACATTTGTCTTCAAAGGAACTGCTGGTGTTTGAACTCATCACAGTTTTTTCTTCCTCCCAATGGTTTGTGATTATAGGTAAATCTTTGCTTTCAAGGAAAAAAACAATATAAAGAGAAATCATGCAGCTTTGCACACAACAACACATTGGCAGGAAATGCTGGCACTGTTAAGTCACACCTTCAAGGACAGTGATAACAAAAATGCATTTCCACTTTGGATAATACTGTCCCCAGTCCTCTCCTCAAATACAGCTATCACATGGAATTTCCTCAATAAGAAAACTCTAGCAGTACGACTAATTGATCACCCATAATGCTATGCCAACAGCATAGGGTCTGTACCAGCAGTCTGTTCAGGGTCTAGCCCTCGACAGTGTTGTAGAGCAGGCAGCTAGATAAGTAGATTTCTCTACACCCCCAACAACACTAAAATAAGAAAAGGGCTATGCTTTTAGTAAATGTCTCCTTAATGAACAACAGTTTCTGAAAACTAATTCCTCGTGGGGGCACGCAAAAGAGTGTTGTTGTTGATGGGATCAAATATAGGCCCTTGTACATAATGGATCACTCTATGACTGCTCTGGAGCCATAGCCCAGAATTCTTAAGCTCTCAGACTACGAAGACTCCAAGGCTTGCATAACCAAGCCATCACCAAGTCCACAGTCTAGTATTTGTGCCTTAAGTAACATTTGAAGTACTTTCCACAAACTCTCAACTCAGTCAAACTGCCCCTTCAGAATGAGTGCCTTATTTGAGACAAATGCCCCTTAAGACATCTAAAGACATAAACACACAGGGGCCTCAGATACCAGTCCCTGGTTGCGTGAGCTCATCCCTTGACAAGCAGTGGAAATTTCCTACTGACGTAGGCAACCACCTCCACTCACTATTTCTCTGCTGCTTTGCTTTGTCTACCTTCATCTTGATATCTTCTCACCTTGGTCCCCAAATCATTGATTACATAACTCTAGCCCCGCAGATTTGATAATTACCCCTGATATTTGCCCTGTCTGCCTGTCTTGGATTTGACTCACTCTGGGCATTGTGTAAGCAGAGAGCCTTCCCTGGACTAATTCATCTAGGTCATGTGATGAACCACAGTACAACTTCCCTCACAATAGCTCTGGATAATAACGACCTCCATATGTGTGGCCCCACAGCATTATTGTTGTTTTATTGATGATTATTGGTTAACTGTCAATTTGCAGCTTCAGAACACTTTCCTAAATTAACTCAAATTAAGCTGCATAGCTACTTCAAGTGTTCTTACTAGTCCCCTTAACAGGTGAGGAAAACAAGGCAGAAAAGTCTGGTTAGATCAAAGAATTGTGCAACAAATTGGAGGAAGACCTATCAGCAAGACAATAAGCATGCCTTTTTTCTACCAAACTTGTAACTGATCTTAAAGGGTGTATAACTATTTCACCGATGTGAGGAATTGTGACTTCAGTCTTCTGAAACCCATAAGTTCTGAAACTTAGAAGTCTCTAAGACTTCAAGATGCATAAACAGTTACCCTCATTTGCTGACTGATAACCTTCATTGTCATACGAGTTCCTAAGCTTATTTCCTCTGCTTTGGTTCCCTTTCCACACATCCTTCCAGAAAGTTGCAGTGCAGATGTTTCCTTATTAGTTATGACCGTTACTGTCTTGAAACAGAGCAACTATGATCATCAGCATGAGACCTTCCATCCTAGTGACACTTCCTAGGAACAGGGGAGGCCCACGCTATTGCAAGTCTTCATGACATCCCTACAAGGACTCTTCTCTTCCAGAGATTATTTACTGGGTAAACAATTGATCAGTGGGGGAGGGAGGAGGGATAAGAGAAGAGGGAGAAGACTCCTCAGTGGTGTTACTCCTATAAACTGCACAGAGGATTTTCCCGTAGTTTGCCTTGGAGTTGTCCATGCCCCTGTAAGTAATTTGAATAAACTCATTGGTTCACCAACCTGGACTTAGATCCTTTCTTATGTCTTGTGCCCTTTCTGCATTTAGTGTGTAGACATCTCGTTATGTCTCCCCAGGAAAGTCAGATAATAGCATGGCCATGAGAAGGGTGTGGCTAATACTAGCTAAGCCTCCCTATGTATGCCTACGATGAGGCTTTTCCCTTCCTCACTTCTGGTATTCCTCTAGCCACCAAGGACTCTAGGCTATATTTGTAAGGAGGTGGGTAATCACATGAACAATCAGATCACTTCTGCTGAACAATTTGTGAGTCAGGTGCGGGCAACTTTGAAAGCAATAACAACAAAATATACACATAAGCATGAGGCTTCCCACTGCAGGCTATGGGCAGTGTTCCCTGAATGATGACAGACTTCACTCGCTGGCTCCCAGGGACTCCCTTGCTGTCTACTACTGGGTGTCACTTAACTATCTCCCAAGGTCACCTCTGCTATTCCCCATACAATTCCAGCAAACCCAGTACCCTCACCTTGGATTCTACTTCCTTAATTAAAAGTCCTCTTCCCCACACTTTTTCCTACTCCTGCAAGGTCAGGTGACTCAGTTCCTCTGGTGTGTTACAGAGGTTGCTATCCACGAATCTATTCATCTATTTTCCATGTTTTTTAAGCACTCTGCATATTAAAAAACTTCTTTGTCACATTTGTTAAAGCCATTCTTTTCTAGCATTTGTCTTTTAACTTTTTAAACTTCTTTTCTACTGAAAGTTGTACATTCTTCTTACTCCAACATCCAAGTCATTTCCTTTATGGGTTTAAGACTTTGTGTCACTGAAAAGCTTTGCACATTCTAAGACTTTGCAATTTTTATCCATGGCTTTTTTTTTCCTGGAACAGCACTTGATTTGTCTGCAGTTTATTTAAGCTATGAAGAAAGTTCATTACACATCTTAGCATTTTTCTTTTATTTAAATAAAAGTTTATTATTATAATAAACAATAGGCTCCAATGCAACACTTTATACTACCTATAGGCCAAGAGATATTTCAACAGGAGACCCAGATGTTCAAATGGAAAGAGTCACCATCATCCTGGGTGCCAGGAACAGCTATTTTGTGACAGATTTATAATTCCACCTGTGCCCAGGGCCTCTTCCCTGTGCCTTCACTTGCTAATTTCGAGTTTTTTCTGGCCTCTTGGTTTCTGCTTGAACACCTTATCTTCCTGTTTGTCTGCTTGGCTTGCTTCTGGATCTGCTTCTTGGCACCTTACAGTCTAACATGATACCTGAGACCCCTTCTCCAGACCTAGATCCTAGCTTTGTATTTTTCAAATGCCTAGCCAGAGCCCTCATCGTCTTTGCCGAACAATAGCTATTTGCTCCTCTAACTTAAAATGTCAACATGCAAAGTTCCTTACATGCCTGGTTTATTTCTATGCTCTCGGTTTCACTGATCTGTAAAGTTTCAAAATTTTTTAATTGTTATGTAATTTTATATTTTAAAAAAACCTGGATGTTCTCCATTCGTGACCACCCCTTTTTATTGCTCTTCTGTTTCACAATAGGCTCTTTCCCCATCCCAATCCCACAATGAACTTTAGTATCACATTGTACAATATTTGACCTCAGGCATTCAGCAACATATGGAATGATGACCACTGTTGGACTTTAACAATGGACTCTTTAGTTTCTTCTATTCTTTATGGTTTCTGCTACACAAACAGTACAGCTGGGACTCAAAACTGAACCTGACTGATTATTTGCTGGGCTATCCAAGCCCATGATACAATTGCTACTCCAGCTCCTAACAAATGATAAGACTGAATTGAAATCAGCTCCTAGGTTGACTTACATGCAGCAGGGGAATCCGAGTTTATTGCTTCTGGCCTAGTAAAGCTGGTAGGTAGCTCACAAGGATAGGAGCAGAAACAGCACCCAGAGCATTTGCATAAGATTAAGAAAAACTGCATTGTCATTTTTACCTCCCATGCAATAAACCTAGGTTGTTTTCTTGCTTCCAAAATTATGGGTCAATGTAGATAGTAGAAGAGTTTCCTACAGATTCAGAATAGTATAAAGTGAGTTGGAGTGAAAGATGTAGAGAATCTACCCAACACGACTATGGTGCCCTGATGTATGGGACTCTCAACTCTATAAGGAAGCTCTCTCCACGGCTACCTTGTGCAGCAATTAGGCTAAGTTAGTTTTACTAACCAGATTTTGTAATGCCATAAAAAAAATAAAGATTTCTTCGTAAAGTGTGGTTAGAAAATCTCACTGTGAGATCCATATTGAAAGTCATTCTACAAATTGCAATAAAAATAAACAATTCAGAGTAGGAACAAGTGGCATATCCATGTGACAGATGTAGTAAGCCCATGTGACATGGCCAATTGACACAGATTTCAGGTGTGAAACTGGAACCTTCAGGTACTCATGTTATTATAAGCTTTAAGCTTCCAAGTAAGGCCTCTTACCCACTCCCAATTACCCATGGGTTTTCTCATTACAGAGAAAGCAAAGGTTTAAGTCAACCGCCTCTGATGTGCCTTGATCCCTAATGCCCACAATACCAAGTAGCATTCCAGTATCTTGACATTTTAGGCCTCTGCTGAAGACAGAATGCTTATTTTGCCACCCCAGTTCTCCTTCCAGCCTGGTATTCCTCTTTTGAGGAAAATATTTGCTATACGATGGCAAGTAAGAAGTAACTTCACATGGAGACTATTTCTATCTTCACCTGCACTGAGGCCAAAATTGAAGATGTGTGGGTGTCTTGTAGTACCTCTCTATTCTCTCCCAAAGTCATTGGAGAGTAAACAAGCATGACTTCTTGATAAGGAACTTTTCATAACCTTTGTGCAAGCATTCCATAACCTTCTCCCTCTTGTTGGTTGTTGTTCAAATACAGAAGGGAAATACACCCTAATATTCATAGTAGCCATCTCTTAAGTTAGTGAGACTTGAGAAGACTTTTTCTTTATGCTTTCTGAATTGCCTACACTTTCTTCAATGACTATTTTCCTCAAAGTAAGATAGTTTGAAACTTTATTAAATTAAAAGAAAAAAGACTAGATATGAATACTCTGAGACATTTCCAGCAGACGTGTTTGGAAGATAAGATCCCTTTGCCTTCTTTCTTTCATGTGTTTTCTGAATTTAAAAATTTTATTTGAAATTTTAGAAAGTAGTTCACCAAATGTCTTAGTTCTTGCAGGGGCAGGTAGAAATATTGTTATGGACTATATTTGGGCTTCACACATGGTCATAATTACAGTGTACTTCTGTCAAAGCCCTCTGTTTCCTTTGTTTTAAAATAGAAAATAAACCTGCTTTTATATGACTCTCAGTAAGATGATGAGTGGCAGCTTGCCCCCCTAACGCTGCCATTTTAAGGAGATCATCTGTTCAATTATAGAATGGAAACTCTACCCACCTAGTAACTAGTTCTCCTCATACAAGTCATAATACTCTCCAGCTATGGAACAACTTCTCAACTCCTTACTCATCTCTCCCTGTGGGACACAGCTATCCCTTCTTCATTCAACACCTTACTCATCTATCCCTATGGGACATCACTGTCCCTTCTGTCATACTCACCCGAAGTCTACACTGCATTCAAGTAGGGTTAGCTCACTAAATATTCACCATGGTCCGGAATGATAGAAGCTCAATGTGCCGCCTTGCTGTGCACTTCACATTTCAATGACATTCTAAAGGACCCGAAGAAATTAATCCTGATTAAGAAAGACTGAAAGAGAGAAAAACTAAACTGTCATGAACAAAAAATTCTAAGACTCAGGTTAACGAGATGGCTCAGCAGACAAAAGGGCTTACTGTACCCCTGGTGACCTGAGTTTGATCCCTGGGAGTCACAGGGCAGAAGAAGAGAACCAATTCCCACAAGTTATCCCCTGACCCCACATGTACTGTTGCACACATGTATATACACATAGAAATAAATAAATAATGTTTAAAATGAAAAATAGGATTCTCAGTAACATAGAAATAGCTGTTCACTCCTTGGGATAACTACACTTAGAAGCAACAAAAAAAAAAGGAAGAGGAAGCGACTCTTTTTAAAAAACATCCTTTAACTCTGGATTTTGTAAAATAATTGAAAGATCAATGACTTTGCAGAAACAGAATTTTATGGCTCTTACCTCTTATGATCTCCAGATTCCCAGGGTTTGCTCTAGAAACCAATTAGAGCTTTTGTTGAAGTCTACTTTTAGCCTATATTGACACAAGAGAGCACTGTTCATTTTTTAATAACTAGAAAATCTTTCCTTCTTAAAAAAAAGGGGGGGTGGTCTTCCAGAAGAGCATCACACCCAATCTGATGCATTTGACAGCAAAGAACTGTAATTCTTTGGTTTATTTGAGCCCTCTTCTGTCGTCTGCCAGAGGAAGCCCCTGCAGAGGAAGCACTCTGCAAAATTGGCAGAGAACTAAGATGTGGAAGAAGGCTGTCCTTAGGCTGTTTGCTTTATGACAGAAGGAAGGAGAATTCTTTGTTGTGGATTTTGTAAGTTAGTTAACCAATTGTTAAGACCAAGGGGCTTTTTTTTTTTCCCAAAAGAGCTCGGGGAAGTTGTGAATGCAGAACATGCAGAGAAATCTTAGTTGCTTCTGCCATATGGAAAGCAAACTAGGGAGGTCAAAGACATTTAAGGCCTAGAGAAATGTAGATGCGCTGACAGGGTGCCTTGTTGCTCCTTTTTCCAAAGCTTTGACTTTTAACAACCAGAAACTACAGACTTCTCATCAAATGCTTTATTGGTTATTATTTGTGGCAGCATATGATGACAGGACATAACTGGGCAGAAGGATTTTGAACAGCGAATTGTGGGGGGAAATGTCAATTCTTAAAAATAAAGCTAAACAAGAATAATAGTAAGCGAGTCTTGACACCCAAAACTAACTCAGCATTATGGAAGCCTCGAAATTCACACTTGCCTCTGTATAGCCAAGCCTGCCCAGATTCGCATGGCCCCAATACAATGGCATTAAGAACAGCCTATCGTTGTTTTTTCTTTGTGATCAATTGTTTATCCGGTGTTAAACAAATATTGTGGTGAAGAATAGATTGGAACAGGCTTCAGAACTATTCCTTGGATGTTCATCAACAGAAACACAGAGAGACAGCAGAGCTCAGCACTTGGATAGATGAAATCCAACAGGAAATCTAAAAGAAAACTGACTGGAATTTTAAATCTTCAACAATGAATAGAGTCATGGGATTACTGGTGTAAATGCAAACCTGATGCTGCAGAAAATAACCCTGAATTTTTGTTTCCAAAAAATAAATATATCAACTTGTCTTTCCAAGGAGATCCTTAATGGTACATGTGCCAGGGTAATGTATGCATGTATATATATAATGTGTGTATTTTATATATAGTCTTTTTTGAAAAAAGCAGAAGGGGGAAAAAAGCATGAAGAGCATATAACATATGGCATTCCCTGTCGCCTCAGCTGGTGTTTGCCATTTCCTGCTTGTAACTTTCTTAATTTTACATCTTCTCCTCAATTTCAATATACTAGACATTTAAATCAAAATTTCAAGTTGGCCTTCCCTTTTTTTTTTCATTTGCTGCTTCTGCTCCTATTAATTTTTTTCAGCTACATGGTGAGCTCTGTCTCATTTAAAGAGAAGCCAGTGATTGCTGTGGGGTATTGCCAGAATGAGTCAATACAGACAGTGTTCATTCTGATGTGACTACCTGGATAGGTGATGTCCAGGCACAAGAAATAAAGTAAAACCTATTCTAATACTGCAATCAATTTTTTTCTGGGACTGATAATAGAACTGACATAGGGGAGAATGACAATCTCTAACTGGCACAGAACCAGTCTTGAAAATAAAACCCCGAAGTCACTGGGATTCACTTACACATTGCCCCTCAGAGTGGTGCCTCTTCCCTAACTTCCGCCTCCAGACAAAGCCAGGCCACCTGAGGAAGATGTTCTCTTTATAAAACCTCAGGAAACAAGTGTCCTTTACCCTCAGAGGAACAAACTGAATTTCCTACTCAAAGTAACTAGGACTCCGAAGTATTAAGAGCCTGGCCTCGGCTGGCTGCTGAAGTCTTCCTCATCAATTCCAAAGGTCAAAGGTGAAGGAGAAGAGAACAAAAGCAAAGTACTACCTTCCTCCCTTGAAAATGAACCTCAGGGGCTAGCCAGATGGCTCAGAGGGTGAAGTTATCTGCTGCCAAACCTGAGAACCTGAGTTTGATGCCTGGACTCGCGTGACAGGAGCAGAGAAGCAACTCCCAAGCTTGTCCTCTCACCTCCACAAGAGTGCCTGGCATATGCATGCATACATACAAAATGAATGAATGAATGAATGAATGAATGAGCTATGATAAAATATATCTTACTTGTTCTACACTAGAAGTCGATTGCTGGGAAATATTGGCAGTTTATGGTTGTTCCCCACTTCTGTTGGAGTTCTAGGGATGTTGTGGCTCTAAGAGTTCTTCTAGTTTGCTTCAGTAATTAAATCTTGTCCCCATAGGTACTCCCAGGGTGTTCCTGTTAAAGAGTAAGTCACCCTTTCATACTCAGTTTAGTTTAGACAGTGTGAGCTAAGGTACAACTCGACTAGGGAAGACTCAGCGTCTTAGATGTCCTAGGGAAGACTCAGTCAGCGTCTTAGCTGTCCAAGTGTGCCTAGCAGCTCTTAAGATAAATTCGTAACCACACACATACCTAAGAGATCCCACCACACTCCTCTTGCTTCGCTAGTTAAAATAGTTCTAGAGAATGGGGATATCATGTTAAAATCTTAGTCATGTGATTGCAAACTCACCCAGCACCTTCCTTGTACGCTTCCTCAAAGTTGTCTGAGATAGGTATGCTTTTTTCTTTCATAAGTCCTTCTCCCATGGGAGGGTGACCAGGTTTCAGCAAATATGACTAGAGTTATCTATAAAATTTGAGAACAGAGAGATATGAGAGGGGTTGGAGCAGACAGTTCATAGGATACGAACAAGACCTGAATTCAACTCACAACACCCATAATGAAGCTCACAACTGTCTGTGACTCCAGTTCCAAAGGATCCGACACCCTCACACAGACATACATGCAGGCAAAACACCAATGAACACAAAATTAAAACTAAATAAAATCTTTTTTTTCTTTTTTTTTTTTTGGTGGGTGTGGGTTCAAGACAGGGTTTCTCTGTATAGCTTTGGAGCCTCTCCTGGAACTAACTCTTGTAGACCAAGCTGGTCTTAAACTCACAGAGATCAACCGGCCTCTACCTCCCAAGTACTGGGATTAAAGGCATGCACCACCACCACCCAGCTAAACAAAATCATTTCTAAAGACAAAGAGATGGGAGAAAGGGACAGGGCTAGAGAGATGATTCAATGGCTAAGAACTCATACTGCTCGCATTATTATTGTGGACTTAAGGAGAAACCTGGCATCCACAAGGATGACCCCAACTAAGAATCTAAGAAGTAGTCAAAAGGCTACCTTAAATGTCCTTCCCCTAAAATGAGATTGATGGCTACCTTAAATGTCCTTCCCCTAAAATGAGATTGATGGCTACCTTAAATGCCATCCTAGAGCCTTCATCCAGTAGCTGATGGAAGCAGAAGCAGACAGCCATAGCTAAACACTGAGCTGAACTCTGGAATTCAGTTGTAGAGAGGGAGGAACAATGACCAAAAGGGTCAAGACCAGCCTGGAGAAACCCACAGAAACAGCTGACCTGAACAAGGGGGAGCACATGGACCCCAGACTGATAGCTGGGAAACTAGCATAGGACTGTTGCAGACCCTCTGAACATGGATGTCAGTTTAGAGATCTGGTTAATCTATGGGGCCTCTGGTAGTGGATCAGTATTTATCCTAGTACACTAATGGACTTTGGGAGCCCATTCCACATAGAGGGATACTCTCAGCCTCAACACATGGGGGAGGGTCTAGGCTCTACTCCAAAAGATATGACAGACTTTGAAGATCCCCCATGGAAGGCCTCACCCTCCCTAGGGAGCAGAAGGGGGATGGGATAGGGGTTTGGTGGGAGGCAGGGGAGGAGGGAAAGGAGAGGGAACTGGGACTGACATGTAAAACAAGCTTGTTTCTAATTTAAGTAAAAAAAACAAAAAGGAAGAACTTATACTGCTCTTGTGAGATGGCTGGCAGTTACCTATCACTCCAGCTCCAGTGGAATCTGAAGCCTCTGATGTCTTTGAGCACTGGCACTCACATGCACAGACACACACATGCTCATAACTAAGGATATTAAAATAATGTTGAAAAAGATGCAGATATTCTAAGTTATCTGCCTGCCTGTGGTACTGAGGATAGTAATTTCCTCCTGCTGATGCTCCTGATGCAACAGCCACAGCACAGAACTCAGAACCAAAGCACAGACCCAGAACCAAGTCTTCAGTAAAAGAACATGGATCCAAGAGTCAGGTAAAACAGCCACGAAGGGATTGGTGAGAAGGGCATGATCCAAAACAGAGAATTATACCCTAGTGTCCTTCTTACCTGTGAATTAGTGATAAACAATGTGGAATTACAGACATCTTCATCACACAGCCATCAGAATGGCCAATCCTTATTATTCATATTTTTATTATCATAAATATCTAGTTTAGAACTTTTAAATTTTACCCACAAAAAAGAGCAGTCATCACCTTATGCCAGTGTGAAATTTGTTCCTCTGCAGAAGAAAAGAAAAGCAACAAATTCAAAATAAAATGTCTCAGAATTTCATTTGGATCTGGGTTCCAAAACTGATAGCTGAGGTTGAGAGTAGCGATGTCAGAATGATTTTTTGTAAGTCAAGAAAATCTTTGAGTCTGTTAAGAAATCACATCTAAATACTGCTAAATATAAGAATTTTTGCATCACTAAATGAAATGGGCAAAGTATAAAAATTACAAAATAAAGGGAAGCCAAAACTTAGTGTGTTGTCACACAAAGTCTAACATTTCCATTTCTTGCCCTCATGCCTCAGTCCAGCTAGAGAATTAATAGGGAACTGAGGTTTAACGCAGTTAGGTACTGACATCTATAAATTGCCATGTAAGTGCACTATCAGAAGACTGACAAGAGGCAACTTTTATGATGAGAATTTACATAATTAAAAAAAGTGATGCCAGATGTCAAAATATGTATTTAGTGACTCATAAAATTTCATTGCCCTAAAGTGAAAAAAATAGGAATACCACAGATAAAAAAATATTTTCAGCAGATGTCCCAAAAATACTTCCAACTTTAAAAGAATCCTTCCACCTTCTCCGCACTTCCTCCTTCCCGAGTATCTCTCATTTCCTTGACATTTTCTTAGCACTCTTCTCCAGGATTAGGCACAGGTCCAAAGGTAGGAGCAAAGGGGATGGATGCTGAATTAGTTCTTCCTGCTCATCCTCATCTTCCTCAACCTTCCCAAACACCAGACAGGCGAGATCAGGGACAAAGGGAGAAGGAAACAGGTTTCAGTCACACCCCTCCTCTTCATCTTTGTGAAAGGTGACATACAGGCTCCATGTTGCGTGCAATGTTTTAAAATTGTTTCATAATCCTTCAAAGTCAAATACCTTTGGGTGTTTCATACTGGAGACACGGAAGATAAACAAGACCAAAACCCCTCCTTTCCCCCAGCCTTTTGGTCTTTTACAAAAGTTGAGACCAAAGGCTAAATCTGCCTGCGGATGGGTGTTCATCGGTGCTGGCTTTTGTTTGCTTGTTAATTGTTTTGTTTTTAGGACAGGGTGTCATGTAGCTCAGGCTATTGTAGAGAGAAGGATTCCGTACTCATTCTTGATCCTTTCCTACCTACCAGTGCTGAGATTACAGCATGCACCACTTTATCAAACCACAGCTACATTTCTGTTAAACAGAGTGTCTTTCAAGAGATCTTCACCTTCTAATCTGAAACAGTCCTCACCACTACCCACTAAACTTCACAGGTCACTTCGTATATTCCCCTTGCTAATTAGTCCATGTATGCACTTCAGATTTGGATGTCAAAGCGAAAATCATCTTCATCCACTCACATAAACTCAGCACTGGCAGAGACTTTCAAATCCATGTTCTAAAACAATCACCCATTAGATAGATTTTCTGGCAATATTTTCAGGATTAGCTTTTTGCGAATCGGAAACACCAAAAAGACTTTTTAAAAAATTAGAAGCCTGAGTCCTACCTCTCTCTCACTGAATTAGAATGGCCAAGGAGAGGGGTCGAATAGGAGCCCCTCATCTGTTCAGGTAAAAATACCTGGTGAGCAGCCAGCATGCTATTCCTTATTATACCTAATAACAAAGAGCTCATGGGTTGTTTGGTTGTGTTTTGGGGGTTTTGTTTTGTTTTGTTTTGTTTTTATAGCAGTGTAAGAAAGTTCATTCCTCAGGCAAATGTGGGTGTTCTTACTAGCGATAGGGAAGAGTTGTCTGTCTCTCGGCCCTGGGGAAGATTGACGGTATATTACAGAGCCTTATCAAAATTCTGGAGGGGGCTGTTATCCAAAGTAGTCTTAACTCCTCTCTCTTCCTGGCATATGTTTCATACCTTGCAGGCTCAAAGTGGAGAAATCTGTCCATCTCTATGTCCATGTGAAATCTAAAGCTACCTATTTAGGTATTGCAGCTGTCATCAACAATATCCCGGTGTTGGGATGAGGTAGATTTTGCTTCCAAAACTATGAAAAGGGAGTCAGTGTGCAGAAATGACAGATTATGAAATGACGAAGAACATCTGGCTCAAAAATGAATTATACAGGTGCCATCAACAAGACAAACAGGAAACTTCCTCATGAAATAGCGGAGTTAAACTTCCAGGCTGTTTTGAACCTCATACAGGCCTATTAATCAATTCAGTAAAAATGTAATTAGAATGGATTTGACCAGATGCTTGGCTGACCAAGTTAAAGCGATGATCATTATAACATGGCAAAAATTCATCCACATAACTGACCACATAAACATAGATAATAATATAATATACTAAGTAGGCATTGTAGGGTACTCTGTATCTTTCAGAGTTTTCACTCACAAATAATCTCTCTGCAATGGTAAATCAATCCGGGAGTCAGTGTAAGGATTCAGGCATTATGCTGGCCTGCCCAGTCACCTAGCAGAATGCATTCAGGCAGTACCCTGGCCAGCCCAGAGTTCCAAGGAGATGCAAGGGACCCCTTTAAGAGAAAGACCCCGCCCACTTAACGGTCTTTTCTGCCTGCTATCTTTTTCTGCCCTCTTCTCTTAACCCCCCTCCTCTCTTTCCACTCTCTCTTTTCCTTCCTGCTGTTTCCCTGGGGGGCGCACCTGACTTTTCCTGCCTCCCTCTTCTCTCCTGTTCCACTCCCAACCCCCGCACCCTGTCTATGTCTCTTTCTCTTTTCCCTTCCCTTCCATCTCTGTTCCCGGTCAGCCAACACCTACCCCTCCCTTTGCTCCCTTTCCCAAATAAACTCCATGTGGGTTTGTTGAAGTCTGGTGGCTCATGTCTCATTTCCCATATGACAAAGAAGCAGACTCCTGTCACATGGTTTACTCATTTAGAAATCAGCACCTACTCAGATGACCAAATCCCCAAATCGGATGCCAATACTCAAGCCCTGCAATCTTCAATTTTCTGGTTTACAGTGTCTAAGAGAAAGCTGAAAAGAGGAAGAAAATTTATCCAACGAAAACCAAACAGTGATTGTAAGAAACATTCCCAGACAAGAAGAGAAGCAGGGGGGAAAAAAGCCCTGAGAATCAAGTGTTAAGGTACGGCTGGGACATAAACATCTGCAAACAATTCCCAGACCCATCAGGAACTGGCTGTTAAAGACACAGGGCGGCCAACGGGAAAATGAGGCCAGCTGATCCCTGGCACAGCTGGGAAAAAAGAAAAGGAATACTATTTCTTGCTAAACTGATCCTGACTGAGGAAGTGAGTTCTGGAAAGTCCGTTGGAGGTAGCTGTGAAGGGTCTCTGAACCTTGTTAACCAGAAGTTTTCCTGGTAGTCAGTAGCCATCAGAATGGGAGAGTGAAGTCCAAAGCAGATACTCCAAAGAAATAACTTTGAAAAGACAACACAGAGTTAGTTGATTCGGCCACATTTGGTTCAGCAAGCAAAGTTAAATCATGATAAAATGAGGGGGAAACAGCCTCTTCTAGGCCAAGATGTTAATGCCTCCTAGTGATTAAATCCCGGGATTATCAGTCTGAAAAAACAACAACAAACAGTCAATGAGCTAGGCCTGGTGACACAGCTTCAATACCAGTGCTCAGGAGGCAGAAGCGGGTGGGTTTCTGTGAGTTCAAGACCTGCCTGCTTGATAGGGAACCCCAGGCTAGCCAAAGCTACATAATGAGACCCTGTCAAAACAAGCATCGCTTTTTAAAATATTTTAAAACTTGACAGTAAAGACAGCAGTACTGTTCCACTCAAGGACATGGGCATGAGATGCCCTCTTCAATCTAATTCCTCAATGGTCAGGACACGTTAACTAAAAATCTGCCATAGAACTCTAAGTGGATTACAAATCTCTTTGAGGTTTAAACCATATGATTTCATTTCATTTTAAAAATTTACTAGATTCCAGTGTTTATGGATAGATGAACTTTCTCTAGCTGTCATATATCCCTATATTAATGTTTTTAGTACATTTTGTATGTGTGTGTGTGTGTCTGTGTGTGTACATACACGCATAGCCCTGCTTTAGGAAAAACCAATTTGAAATAATACATATTAAGAAAAAGCCAACATAGTAAGATTAAAAATGTTGAAATAAATTCAAAGTGACTATTCACCCTTATTAAACAATTGTCTATGAAGACTGTTTTATGTTATAAACTGTGTGAATTGCAAAAATGCAAATTGGAATGCAGGTTAAGTAACCCATATCAGAAATGCTTGTGTCCAGATATCCTTCAGATTTCAGAAGGTTTTTTGGAGTTTTGGAATTTTTATACAAGGCTATTGATTAAGCCTCAGAAGACCATAGTAAAGAACTCTTAAGAGATTTACCATGGAAAGAAAGGAGAATTGTTACAGTTATGGTTAAATTGTTATGGTTAAAAAACGAATAAATGAATGAAAATATAGCAGTATTCAGAGGAGAGTAAAGACACAATACAGCTGTCAAGGTTCCGATAATAAATACCTTTATGTACTGCACCAAGGAAAGTAGACTTTTTATTGTAGGCAAAAGCCATTGAGAATTTTAGCATTAAATGATTTTTTTTTGATATTTTGAGACAGGGTTTCTCTGTATTGTTTTGGAGGTTGTCCTGGAACTCTCTCTATAGACCAGGCTGGCCTCAAACTCACAGAGATCTGTCTGCCTCTGCCTCCCGAGTGCTGGGATTAAAGGCGTGTGCCACCAATGCCCGGCTATGGTAAATAAATCTTAAAATCATATTTTAAAAATAGAATTTCACTAACAGATAACAAAATGGCTTGAAAGGGCTATTACCAGACACAAGTAGACCAAATACCAAATTTATTGGTAGAGCTCCTCTCTCTCTCTCTCTCTCAAATGACCATGTCTTAAAGTAGAAATACAGAAAGGAAAATGGAAGTTAAGTGGGGCAGAGAAGGGTGGAAATGGATGTAACTAAGACATCCCTTTATTGAACTCATATATTGATTTGAAAGGATCTCCCTGGAAAAAGAATCTTAAACTCGGAAATTCCTTACTTTTAAAGTCAGTAAGTAGGAAGATAATAGTTTAAAATCTGTTACTGGTTTTTTTTTTTCATAGTCTAAGATTTCTTCGTGAACTGAACTTCCAAAAAGCCAGTCATAAAAGGATTTATAAAAACCCACAGGACAGGGCAAATAAGACTACAACTTAAGAAATGTTCTGAACCAATGCAGGGATACCTCCCACGAGGTGGGAATGGATGTCATCAAAAGAAAGAGGACAAGGGATTTGGATAGATTTCTTCCTAAGGAGATATACAAATGATGCTCAATATCAGATCTTCAGTGACATGCAAATCAAAACCACAATGAACTATTGCCTCATCCATTAGAGCAATGGGGGAAGGGAGGGGTAAGATAATGCGCTAGTGGGAATGTGGAGAAATGAGAAGCTTTTTGCACTCCGATGGGGTGGTGGGATTATAAAATGGTGCCACTTCTATAGCAGTTCCTTTAAAAATTAAAAATAGAACTACCATATGAACCAAGAATCCTCAGTTCTCAGTATGGGTATCTGGAAGAATTAAAAGTAATTTTAAGGAGAAATTCATAGGCTGTGTTCATAGTGGCATTCACAACATCCAGGGGACAGAAGCAAATGTGTACCCATGGGTCAGCAAAAGAAATGGATAATATTTATATTATCCATATATATATTGTATATATATTATGCACACAATGGCATATCACTCAGTCAATCTTAAAAAGGGGAAAATATGGATGAAACTTGAGAGTATCATGTCAAATGAAACATCAGAAACAGACTATGATTTTAATTACATAAGATTTATAGATGCACTATCTTCTCAACAATTCACCTATGGAGCCCAGCACTTAGGAAGTTCTCTGTGAGTTCCAGGCCAGCCAGGGGTACAAAGCCTTAAAAAGAAAAAATCACCTACAAAAAGAGATTCTGACCTGCACTCTGTTCCCCACAGCCAAACTGTGACTGGAACATAGAAGATAGCTCATAGTGTTGGTTGTCCAGCTCTGGAGAGATTTATCCATTCGATTTCATCGGAGGACTGCGTAGAAAAGGTTGAGTAATTGCTGAGGAGACTACTTTGGACCTGCTGAGGTGTGTTATTGACATAGCTGACACAGTCTGTCATCAGAAGAAGGTCTCCTGAGTACCTGGGAATCAGTTGTAGAAAAGAAAGTGAAAACATGAATCTTGGTGTGTAAATTTCTACCACCTGCTACATTTTCCATGTTCTGAGAACTTTTCCATGTAAAAGTCACTGAAATTTACACAGATACAAATAGGCTTCCAGAAGTCATGTTTTAAGTTTGGGTGCTAGGTGAGTTTAACCCAGTGCATGTCCGTAACAACAAAGGAAGAAAACCACTTGAAAGTAATATATGTGGAGATGATCAAGATCATCTTGTGAATATCTTTCACTTTTCCTGGAGTTACAATATATGCACATTGAGCCAGAAGCAACTCTATGACAGAGGGTTCTCAGAAGGAATGTGAGGCCCTCCCTTTTCCAACCGCATAGCTGTGTGAGGCTGGATTTTAAAAATATACACTTCAACCAAAACAACATTTCACAACAGATTGAATGCAGGAACAGACGCAAGAATCCAGCTGTCTTCTAGTGAGCCAGACATTAAGGAACGTTGCAAAGATGTAAAATGATGCCACTCTCCATATTAGTTTTTTGTTTTTAAAAGTAAAAATATATATGGTTGTATACTATATAATTACATTACTATGTCAATAAACCTCTTACATGTTATTTTTCAATAAATTAATAAATCTTCTTAAGTTTCTGTAATTTCTACCATGGTAAATATTAACATAAAACATAAATCACAGACTTGGAGGGCTCCTCAGCCATTGTCAAGAACAATAGGGTAACAAGGTTGATGACGCATGCCCATGATCCCAGCAACTTGAGAGATGAGGCAGTATAGTCATTCCTTAGTGACTGTGAGCTCAAGGCTAACCTGAGATACACAGCCAAGCAGTTTGTAAATTTAAAAAATGAAACAAAATTTAAAGGTATCCTGAGATCAGAAAGTTTAAAAGCCACTGTTCTCAAGAACCTAATGTTGTTATATGTAAAAGACACTGTTTGACTTTGTAACACTGAGACTAAGGACACATAAATATACAAATACAGTATTACAGCGGCTTTAAGTTTCCTCTCCAATATCACCTCTCAAAAATACTCCACTGGGAGTAGTTCTCACTAGCAGAAGATGACTCAGACTTCAGGGAGAGCACCAAAAGCTAACAGAACTTGACCCCATACTTGTCTCTGACTGGATCTCACTACTGCATATTGTTCAAGTTTGTTCTAATAACTAATTTGCCTTCCAATTTGACCAGCTTATCAAAAAGTTCAAACCTAAATGTATACACACATATACACATGTAAGAGCAAAGACACATGCATGCATATATATATATATGTGTACATACATATATGTATGTACACACATGTATGA